GTCCTGGCCGCCCACGAACGGCATCCTTGCAGACGGGGATAGCCATAACTTCTTCAGATCGCCGTACCCTGTCATTCAATCAATTTGCCTTGGCGCCTCGAAGATCACGCACGGACCAGTTCCACCACTCAGGACATTGCGAGATGCAGAGGACCACCTCACCTATACATCTCACTATCAATAATACACACATCCTCTTGAACTCTTCACAACTTTGCTCCCATTGGGTTCACTATTGGCGTGGTATCACGAGTTCTTCGAAATGTCCGAGACCGACATTTACGGCGCCCGGTCGCAGTCGCAGTCTGCCACGCTGACCGCTTCACGGCAGCCGGAAGTCATGAACTTACGAGGCTGGACCCACTCCGCTCGAGCAAGTTCTGTAAATTGAGAGACTGTCCTGCTCTTTCCTGTGCGAGGCTTAAGGTCATTTCACGGGTACAAAGCTTCATTGAGTCCGAATCGGGAAGTGTGTTTCGCATCTGAGCGTCCATCATGAAGCGTGGGTGAGCACTGATTGACGACACTCTCATCCATAGCAGCCAGTAACTTTGCTTGGTACATCCAATATGTCTCTGTCATTGAGCCTGAGCCTTCAGTTCTATAGAGCCCCCTGTCTCCAACGATGGCTTGCTCTATCATTTGTGACTGCCCGCCCGTCTTCCGACATAAGCAAGCTCCTTTAACAACTTCGTCGGAAGTGCGATACTCTCCTTCGAACAGATTTTGCATCCTCATGGCCATCTATTCAACCTCTTATAACCATCATTGACTGCTATTAGTACTCCAGAAGATTCTCTGAGGATGAAAATCGACTACAACTGGACGCACGCCAACCTAAGCGACTTGACGTATCGCTCATGGAAGGTCTACATGATGGCCGTCCTTTGCGGCTTGGCCCTTATGATGTGTGTTTATTCACTTCTCTTCGCTGTAGGGACGCCGCGTAACAGCACTGTGCTTATACTCTTGGTTTTCCTCGTGCTCTTAAACTTCATTGGGTTCATCAACGCAATCATCTGGCCAGACGACGACCTCATGCATTGGTATAATGGAGAAGGACTTTGCGACATCGAAGTCTACACCATGGTGTTCTTGTTGGTCGCTCTACCCGCCTCTGCCATGTGCATCATGCGCTGGCTCTGCAAGGTGGTCAATCCGGACCATGCCATCAACAGAGCCCGGTGGGGCGTTCTGGGCTCTGACAAAATCTTTAACGGTACTTGCTGCATTGCATTTCCGGCGTTGATCGCGGCGTCGTACTACAGCGTCCAACTGGGCCGGTACGAGATTCACTCCATCACCGGGTGCGAACCGGCGCGCTCTATAACGCCTGCCACCATTGGAATTGTGCTTGTCTGGCCTTTGGTACTGTCCCTCATGGCTCTCGGCTGGGCTGGTAGGTAGGCCTTCCATACGCCAGCCTCGCTAACCAGGTCCAGCGCTTCTTGTGTTTCGTCTGTACAGGCATTACTCGCAATTCACGTCCATCCTGAGCCAAAGCAGCACAACTCCATCCGCCTTCATTCGCATGTTTCTCATGGCTAGCTCCGTCATCTTTTCCTTGCTCCCGCCAACCATAGGGCAACTTATCACCTTCTCTAAGACCTCGGACGGCGTCAAATACGACTGGGACCTCATTCACAAAAAGCACAACACGGCCCACTTCATCGCTACGGGCGGAAGTGTTGCAAATAACCGCTGGACGTGGCCAATCTTTGCGTTCATCTCGTTTGCGCTCTTTGGCCTTACGCAGCGGCAGCGTGAATTGTTGATGGCGCCCATGCGGCAGGTTTTCGATCACTTACTCAGGCATTCCGGAGCGGCGAGTGCGGCTGATCGGTTCCTGCCGGGATGGTTGATGTGCGGACGCCGGCAGTCTCAACCTGCAGAGTCTCTCGAACTAGGTACGTGGTACCGGCATACTGTGACATCGCTGGCTAACATTTTAGATGCTGTGAGGATTCACAACGGCCTGGCTGCCGCAGTTCACCACAACCAAGAAGGAGAGGGCAATGTTAACGGTCGCTGGTATGGAGCGAACGCGAATTGGAGAAACACCGGCCTGTCCGAGCATGTTTAAAGACGGAGATCATCCATATCCTAAACCACTCGCTTTTCATAGCGCTGACCGTCACAGTTTAGAGAGCACTGGCTTAACCATCTCGCGAAATGCAATTTTACTTCAACTTTAACTCTTTCTCCCCACCTCTCCACCTGCCGCAGTCCGCCATATTTTCCTCGTTCACCTCAAAGGTGCAGCTGCCTCCTTTACCGTTGAGGGATACCCGCCCTGCTTAACCCTGGCCGCGCCAAGTCCTTGATCTCAACCTCAGCTTCCTCCACGTTCAGGTCTCAACCCACACACGTGCGGCAGTGGCCCCGCACATCGGTGGCTGCGGCGCCGCACGTATGTGGCAGTGACCTTGCTGCCGTGAGTAAGTGTGAGTTGACATGCCGGACGTCAAATCAACACTCGTCGCACATACGACCAAGTCACAGGAAACATACCCAGTCAACATCCTCGTCAAGCCGCCATATCACCCATAACCAACAATCGTTCTTCCCATACGCTTTTCGCAGAAGTGGTATAGCTAGGAAAGCTGACATCAACGTACGCCATACGACATCCTTCACGTTCTTCAAACCGCGGCGATTTCCGACCCTCAGCGACATCTTCAATGGTATACGACGTCAATATGGGTTTGTGATCTATTTCATTATCAATGGCTATTCAAATCTGACCGAGACAAGAAGAAGATAACGACCTGTTCGTCCCGGGTGTCCGGTTCCCGCCTCGTCCGCAACCCCTGTTCAATCACCCCAGGGAAGAGGAGTACTACAAGGTAGCGAAGCCCCCGGGACCTGATCCAGATCCAGGTCTTTACAGGATACTGCGCCAATCCTGCGATCACCCAGAAGACTTCACGAGCTACCTCGAGTCGGAGCGCGATATCTCGAGAAACAACCTCCCTGCGTGTATGTCGAGGCTCGTGTGGGTTTCGCGTGGTCCTCCGGACTTTATCGAACCAAGGATCACATCTCGAGTCAGTGGGAGGCCACTTCGCGACGTAGACATTCCTATAAGAATTTCTTCAAGAGCCGCAGGCTGGGAGCTGAACTACTGGCAAACAAAATCCGAGATATCGGACATTGTGGATCGCATGGAGGGACATCCACAACTGCTCAGCAAGTCCACGGCTGGTCCTTTGAGCGACGCGAGGCTAGGTTCCATTGCCCGCGCTATCATGCAAAAAAGTTACAACTGGCGCTTGTATAATTACGCAGGGTTTAAAACTGCTGGTGAAATTCTCCGCTCTGCAACTGGACAGCCAACCAAAAGAGCCATCGACCTCATATCCTCTCTTTCAGATGCACAGCTACGGTATCAAACGGTGTGGGATGTTAATGAGGAGCTGGGAACGATGACGCAGCGTCGGTCAATGCGCACTAATTGTCCCGAAAGACTCTATCCACCAAACGTTCACCCTTTACCGCGCCAAAAAGAGTTGCATCCTTATATACAAGACATTTTGCGAACCGAATTCCCTCATCGGACCATCCCAAGTGTGCCAACATCAGGTGCCGAGGGGGCGCTTGCCCAAACATTTCAACCATCCGAACTTCTGGGAGCGGCCCCGGTGGAAAGCATCCAGGCGCAAGAAAACCCTCCTGTACCAGAGTTAGCAACATCGGACGCCCCGGAATCGTATCCCAAACCGCTTCCATCCTTCGGATTCTCTGAAGCGGCCCCGGCGGAAGGAATCTGGGCGCAGGAAACCCTGGACCAGGCAAGCGCATCTCGTCACGTATCTCACCCATCTATTGTACTGGGTTTGGCAGCATCGGACGCCCAGGGATCATATCCCGAACCTTTCCCGTCATTTAGATTTACTGAAGCAGGGCCGGCGGAGGGAGTCCAGACGGAGGAAGCCCCTTCTGCACCAGATTTGGCAACATCAGACGCCCAGGAATCATATCCCAAGCCGCTTCAGTCATTCAGGCTTACTGAAGCGGCCACAGCGGCGGGAGTCCTGGCGCAGGAAGCCTCTCCTGCACCAGTTTTGGCAATATCGGACGCCCAGGAATCATTTCCCGGAAGGCTTGACTCACGCGAACTTACTGAAGCGGCCCCTATGGAGAGAGTCCAGGCGCAGGAAGCCCCGAATCAGGGAGGCGCAGTGCAAGCCGTACCGGTAGCAAAGTCCACTTCAAAGCGGGCGGCATCGCCGAATATCTACGATCTGGCAGATCAAGTCATAGCGAAAGCCCCTAACCCTCGTCTTCACTGGCAAGGTGTGACAGTCTCTCTTGGTCGCATTAAGGACCTATCGGTGGCAGATTTGAGCTTCAACGAAAGGCACAAACTAGTCGATCACTTGGTTGCCTCAAGAGACTCATGGGCTGCCCGCTCACTTTACCAGGAAGACTCTGCAGACAGTCACCCCATCTTTGATTGGTCAGGTGTGACGGTTTCCGTTCCAAATGACAACTGTCGGGACGTACCGGTGACCAAGTTCACCTCGCAGGAGAGTGCCGCCCTCCTCCAAGTCTTGTGTGACTTACAACGCCTATGCATGCAGAACGAAAACTCCAGTACAGCAAGGGTATGGATGGGGATGATGCTGGGACTACAGAATTGAGCGCACTGATGTTCAGATAGCTCATTTTATCATGAGGGCACAGCTGCTGGAATCGTATCAGGGCTTCATTGCGCTGTATATAGATGTACAGCCGCAGTCCATTTGATACCATTATTCATCACCCATGCCATCCACTGGATCAGATACCGCTGACCATCTGAAAGCGCCCAGCCCGGCTTCCTTTCCGTCGCCTCTCGTCTTAAAGGAACCACAGGACCCTGCTGATGCGATGCCGGAGCCACTGAAGACAACTCAGGACAAAACAAAGCTGGCTCACTAATTTGCAAGCCGGGCAAAGTGAATCTTCCCGCCCCACCCCTCTTCTTCTCATCGCTTCAGACAGAGGCAAAAAGATATTGACAAGAGTGGGATTCGAACCCACGCCTATTACTAGACCAGCAGATGCACTCGGATGAGAAGAACCTGAAGCTGGCGCCTTAGACCGCTCGGCCATCTTGCCTATTTGATGATTTAAGGTCCCGCCATAGTAATTTGGCTGGGCTTTGTACAAATTTTTCGTTAGTTTCCTTTTTGGGCTCGCCTGGCTGTGGCTTGGTGTTCGGGCCGCGGGATCTCGGGACGGGAGCATCAGGTCTGGCGCTCGGCATGATCGGGAGAGGGTCGAAGAGCTAATCGAAAAAGTCATGTCGCCCCCAGCGACAGACCTCTGCCAAAATTCGGAGGAGGAAGGGCATACCTTTTTTGGGCAGCCCTTGGTCAGGAAAGTCATCTGCTCATCACGACATCCAAAAGATCGAGCAGGTCTGAAGTCAAAAACTTCAGCAGAAGCATACATGCAGTTCAGAGCAGTCCATCATTACAGCACAAGCAGTATTCATCCCGTCTTCAGGTTCTCCATTGCAACTATACACAGCACCATCTCTCCGCCGACCCCCCACCATCCTCATTTAACACTCCACACGGAACGAGTCGAAATTAAAGTCGGCATTGCCGGCAAAGTCGCGGCAATGCTTATCGGCGCGGCCGCCACACGTCCGGTCGTCGTAGAGGAAGATGCAGCACCCGCGGCGGCCATCACGGTCAGGCCCGCCACGCCCATCGCCCCGGCTATTGTCGTCTTTCCAGACGAAGTAGCCGCCGCGCTGGTGCTTGATCGTGCGGCAAGGAGAGGAGTTGCGGCCGGAGAAAGATGCGCTGTCGGTGCGTAGGTCCCAGGCGAGGGAGAGGGTGGGGAGGGCGAGGAGGGTGATGGTGGAGAGCTTCATTTTGGAGAGAGATAAGGAAGGTGTTGCTGATGAAGTGATGGTGGTTTGCTGTGGAGCGAGTCGTGCGGTGGTCGTCGGGAAGAGATGGAGGCTTTATACGTCACCATGAGCGCTTTCCCGGGTTTGATCTCCGCACGTCCCGCAGCGTATACGACACTGCAGAGGTATGTGACCTCGAGGACGGTGTACGCATTCTGGCCCCCCGAGGCTATGCATATGGTCTTCGTGCCAATCGTGCCATTCGGCGGTCCATGGATCCGCAGCCGAAATAACATCCGCAGCGAAGCCTCGCCAGGCGCGCCATGGCCCGGAGGCGAAGATTGTTCATATTAATTGTAAGGCCCACGTCATAGGATATCTGCATAGCGAGCACTTTGCAATGAGGCACGTGGGCAGCCGCCTGACAGATTAAGCGGCACTGCCGCCGTGCCAATCACGCGAGAATGGATAGGAGCGTTACAGTGGGTATATTGCACGGACAGCGCTTCCCGCAAACCGGGAGGTGATCATCAGCCCGCCTACCGGGCCCGACATTGTGCTTGAGCGGCGACGATGACGAAGACGCGAGGAAATACTTACTTCTGTAGTCGGACGTCGCAAAGGCCAACTTCAACTTTAACCGATCCTCCGATGGTCGTTCCCGGTATCTGGATTAGGAACGCGTTGCGCCACGAGTGTTTCTGATTGATGTGCAGGACCAGACTTTGGCGGCCGAAGGCTGCGCGAGTAAATGGATCAGCTGAGATAGATTGAGTGCTCTCTTTATGGTTAGCGAAGATGCTCGGAGTTGGTGTTGGGGTGAGATAGCTGTGTAGTCGAGATCAAGCTTTTCAAGCCACGCAAGCCCATTGCTTGGTCTCTTGGCATGGGAGCGGGAAGGAACGGGGGAGCTTTGAGCTTTGAGCTTCATCACCACCTTCGGGACATCATGCCAGTTCACAATATCCCGATCAGACTATATTTGATGCCGTATTCGCTAAAAGTAGCATATTCTGACCGGCATTCCTATCTCCTTTCCGCTCTGTGATATTCCTCGTCCGCGTCAGGCGTCGCCCTCCTTGATGAAGGTCAACGTCGTGAAGCGATCTTTCTGGAGAAGTTTACACAAATGCTACCCAAGGCAGCTTGCTGAATGACACTCTCAGACGACTGGTCTTTCTGGTGAGGGCTCATCGCGTTTCCCACTGCCCGCAAAGTGATGCGCTGGCTAACTGTTCTCCGTCGCCTTCATCACAGATTGTCACAGTTAACATCTCTGCTCAATGAACACTTTCACCGGAGCGGCCGATAGTCGGAAGAGTGAAATATCAGCCTTTGTTAGGCTCACCGAATTGCAGTGGCTTCGCTATAGCCCTTACCTGTGTACTCGGTGCTGAGCATCCAAGTTTTACGCTGCATGTGCATGCCCTGTCCCCATGGGCGGCTGATGAAATCGTCTTTCCTCTCTGATCTATACTTCGGGCTGTATCTGGGCCATCTTTCTATATCCTCAACTTATCAGTCCCAAATTTTAGCCATCTCCGCACCCTTTGAGTCGAGGAGTTCCATTCACGAGCTTTGAAGGCCTTCGAGGCTCAAGTGCCAGCTAACTTATAGGACCCATTCAACGTCCCACGACCCCGAGCAACTCCACTATGCACTCAGTGTCGATTCTTGCGCAGAGGAGCTTGTATATTGATTTCATTCTTACAGCTGCTTAGGTCCGCAGTTCCTTCCAATAGGCATCTAGAACTAATCGCTGGAACCGTACGTCCGAAGTGAACCACACATACACCAAAAGCCTTCAGCTCGACTGCAAGTCATTTAGCGTCAAGGAACGCCCGCATTAGCGACTTCAGTCGTCTTAGCCTGGAAATCAATCGCCTATAACTGCGTTATAAATCCATTTGCGCATATTCGGCTCGTCCTTAACCTCCGACATCACTTTGCCTTGGCATCGGCACTTCACTGCATCGACGGTGAAAACCAGCGGATGAGTGTGGCCACAAAGCGCTAACGAGGAGTTAGATCTGGAATTACGTGGGTTCAAAGATTCGATGAGCCCAATTGAACCGTGTGTCGTCGCTGGTGAGTGTATGCATGAAGCGACATGGCGACAATATCTCCAGACACAGCCGAAGCCTGAGCACACAACACATCTCTTAGGGCCGAACCACGGATTTCACGCATACTAACGGTGCTCTTCCCCCGGACCACCTGCACGGGGCGTTCGCCGTCCACCCGAGCCCAGGAACGAGCAGATTCCACTAGAGTATCTTTCCCCGCGATCGAGCCAATCCGCCCGTCAGGCCAAGTGCTCCATATGCCCCGCAGATGCATCGGTTGCAGCATTGCAGGGCCCGGCCGAAGGCATATTGCCAGTATACCACCGCCATCGCTATGGTCGTGAGCCGTCTTATACCGCCCTGCGCGGCGCCAAACTCGCAGGAAACCTTACACACTCGTTACCATGCACGCCCTCCTTGCCGGCCTGTTGGCCGTCCCCTCATTTCTTCCCGCCGTTGCGGCTTGGACCGTCGGCGAAACTGTTAAAACTACCAGCGGTACGCTGAAGGGCCAGCCGTCGGCATGGCAGCCGACCGTGAGTGAGTATCTGGGAGTGCCGTTCGCCCAGCCACCAGTGGGGCCGCTGCGGTGGGAGAAGCCAGTCGCATACAATAGCCCCAAAGCCATTGACGCGACAAAATATGTAAGCACTGCTCCCAGAGATATAAAGAGCAAATCTAACATGGCAGTCCCCGTACGCGCACCACCGCGTGCTCCCATAATCGCTAACTCCCCAGATCCTGCCCCGCAAACACCCCTTCCTTCGACAATGCGCCGAAGGTCGACACCGCACCGGGTGTCATCCTCTCCTCCCTCGGTCAGCGGGGCGTCACCTACGACGAAGATTGCCTGACGCTGAACGTGTGGACCCAGCCGCAGACAGGTGAAAAGGCCAAAGCCGTGCTCGTCTGGATCTACGGCGGCGGCTTCGCGCTAGGCGCTACTGAGGTCGCGTCCTACAACGGCGCGCGCCTGGCCGCCGAGCAAGACGTTATAGTCGTGAGCATGAAGTGCGTCCCCGCCTCCCTTCCAAATACTTTCTTCTAACCCGAGCCAGCTACCGCCTCAATATCCTCGGCTTCCCCGGCTCCCCGCATGTCTCAGACCAGAACCTGGGCCTCCTCGACCAACGCCTCGCCATCGAATGGATCCGCGACAACATCGCCGCCTTCGGCGGTGACCCGAAGCGCATCACCCTCTTCGGCGAGTCTGCGGGCGGCGCCTCCGTCGACATGTACGCCTACGCCTGGACCGCCGACCCCATCGTCAACGCCTTCATCGCGCAGTCCGGCACCTCGAGCATGGGCGGCATGCTCGGCGGCGCGGGCAACAGCACGCAGCGCTGGTATACGTTGGCCGCAAAACTGGGCTGCACGGACGCGGCTACCAGCACTGCCTGCATGAAGGGCAAGCCCTGGCGCACCGTGATGGAGGCCATCCGCCCGACCGGCGCGGCGGCTAACTTCGGTGGCATGGGCGACTACGGGCCTATCCCCGACGGCCGCGTCGTGATGAACGACTACGGGGCGCGCAGTGCGGCGGGAAAATTCATCAAGCGCCCGCTGCTGGTCGGGAATAATGCGAACGAAGTCGCGCTCTTCCTGTATATCGCGAACCAGAAGGCCAACCTCGCGAACCCGCTGCTCAAGCTGGCGAGCGCGGGCTTCTCGTGCCCGAGCGGCGACGCAGCGGCCGCGCGCATGGCGCAGGGCGTCAAGGCATGGCGCTACTTGTATGCAGGCGAGTATCCCAACCAAGCCCTCGCGCCCGGCGGCGGCGCGTGGCACGGCAGCGAAATCGGACAAGTCTTCGGCAGCACGGAATTCCAGCAGAAGTTCTACCAGTCCAAAGCGAACGTCAGCGCCGCCAGCTTCATCCCCGACACGCCCGCGCAACAAAAAATCATCAAGACCATGATGTCCGCCTGGGCGGGCTTCGCTAAGGATCCCGAGAACGCGCTTGCGAAGGCGGGGTGGCCGATGTATGATGCGGCCAAGGCGAGTGTGGTCCAACTTGGTGGGTCGAATGTTGGAGATGTTAAGTTTGTAAGTCCGCGGGGGCTGGATATTGGGTGCTCGCTTATGTCGAGTTTCACGAATGCGGGTGCTGCGGGCGGGAGTGGGGGGTTATCTAGCCTTGCCGCCCTGCTAGGGACGAGTGGTGCGCAGCTGCCGAAGGGAGCGGCGGC